TGGAACCGACCTTCGAATCTCTTCACCAACAAACACTTTCACTCGAAATGGAAGTAAGCTCAACAATTATCAAACAAGAGATTCATCGAAACCCAACTTTTCTTCGCATATGTTCCAATAAAGCCAAATGACAGTTGGTCAATGGGAGTCAAGCGTCGTCTTGTTTCCATGTCATCTTGTCTTCGCATCTTCTAAACTGGCGTGAAAGCATCTGCCAAGAGGGCGACAATTTGTTGCGGCCTCTTGGAAATCCGTCCTGAATGGGTCCTCTTTGCCGAAGACCGACAACGCCACGTGTGCAAAATCATTTTGGTCGCGAGTATGGAAACAATTCGAGATACGAAGACCAAGATGTTGCGGCCCCTGGTATGGTCAACCGATCATCCAGAAAGATAATGAACAGATCTACGGGATCATGAGCGGGATCCGGATCAAAGACCCGAGTCGGATCGGCCGATCGAAAAATAGGGGGTCGGGATGAATAGCGGGTGTGATGAGGCTACATTAGATTTGCCACAAAAGGTCACACATTTTGATGATTGGAATGTAAACAAGCGGGAAGTTGTGATATGGCTGAAGTGGGATAAAAGGATAAAGAGTAGATAGATAGGCCAGGACAGAAAGAGGAGTGATGGTGTAACCGTTTTCGGAAAAACGTTGGCCGACGGATTGACTTCACTTGTCCCTTTGACGAGTTCGTAGCTCAGCGAGGAGAATGGCAATACTCACTGATGATGCCGGCGAAACGTTTTAGCATGTATCAAATCCACTTTCTGATGCTGGCAATGATGACAACTATGCAGACGACTTCGGACTAGGTGCGTTCTACATAGTCGCCCTGGCAACAAGACCAAGTTGCGACAACGAGGAGACTAGGTGCGTTCTACTAAGTCGCCCTGACAACAAGACCAAGTTGCGACAACGAGGTCAACCCACTTTTAACGTGTTTGTTCAAGCTCGTTTTCGCAACTTGGTCGGAGCGTCAGGAAGGCCTTGTTGGACGTACCTAGTCCTGTATCCTCTGTCATGGTATTCGTGATGTCCAGCTTCGGACCATTGACTTGGTACATTCCCACACGTTTCGCCAGCATCGCAGTCCACCTCGTCAGTGACAGGCGCCATCGTCAGCACAGAGATGCAATCAATTGTCCATTCAACCGTTGCCCCAGCCCCTAATACTCTATCTCTTTCTCACCAGCCCACTTCACACCATTCTGTCCTCTCGTATTTCCCAATGTCGCCTAAGACTGTGTCACTGCAAGTGTGATTTAGTGAAGCACAATTATCTTGACCCTCGGTTCGAGGTGCCGTTTGCAGGTACGAAGCGACTTTCGAGGTGGAAGCAAAAGTTGGTCGGAAAGGATTCCTGAATCGGCCTCACTGTCCGTTCCGCGATGCCAAGAAGTGAACCGTCATCTTTTCTCCTTCCTCTTTCGCTATGACGATGTCTGTCACGGCGGGACACAAGTAAAAGTCGCAGTACAGACTTATTCATACACTTCGGTTTCTGGTGCGGCCATTTCACCAATTCTATCCGGCCAACTTGCGACGACTGCGAATCTGTGGAGAACCGGACTCCGGGTCCCCGAGGAGTCGGTGCAACAATGCAGAAGGTCAACAGACCTTCGAGGAGGTCATGCAAAAACAGTCAAATGTGCTGGTGAATATGAATTCGGAGGAAGCGGGAACCTACAGTTGAAGATGCAACCGGTGCCTCTCCTCTGCCTCCAGGTCGGTCAGACTGTGCCCACCTCCGCCGGGCCAGAGACACAACCGAGAGGCTCGACTCTTCGTCTTCTCGACGGAACAGCCGCCGCTGCTGCTGTGGGCAGTGAGTTCGAGGGCCGTGTCTGTCGGGTCGGTTGGCAAGGCCAGCCTGTCAGCCGGCCAGCCGGCTGCCTGTCTGCGGGCAGACGACGCCTCGGTGGGCCTCGAACTCACCGGTACCGAGTTCCAGGTCGAAGCGAACCGGCTCGACGTCTGTCGTTCGGCTCCGGCCAGTCGGCTGGACAGAGGCTGGACAGGCATTGTGACGAGGTCGTTGAGGCTGTGATGGTTTGTCAGGAAAGAAGAGTCGCCGACACTGCCACACCCGGGACTCGAGCTGGGGCCCGCCGTCAGGGAAACCAGGGAAGAGGATCCATCTGCGGCCATTCGAGCCATCTTTCGGGGGCAAGTGTGCACAGGGCCAGGAGGGAGAATGGGACAGACGATCAGACAATAGCTTCATAGCTACACAATTAAAGATAATTTTTTTTAATCTTCTAAATACACAAAATACAAAATCACGTAAGTGGACTATTTCTCACTTAAGGTCGTTTGACTGAACTGATTTAGGCAACAAGAGGGTTCGACAAAGTTGGAATCTCATCAGAGCCCACTCCTTTCAAGGTACACCAGAGCCTGTCCAAATTTATGGACAGATTGACGACTACTTATATTCGGAATGAGTATGCGCCGAAAATTGTGAAAAGAAAAAATTGATCGCATCGTAGGCAGTCTAAGGTGATTTAGAGGCTGATTGTGCAGACCTTTGAAAATGAAACGAAAATGATAATGCGAATAAATTTTAGTTACTTGAATCAAACGTGTTGAATGAATGGCAGATGAACGGAAGAGACTAACAGAATCTTGCATTTAACTACGCCACTCCTAATTGGACCGTAAGGCGATTCCGAGTTTGTATTATCACCCGAACGGGACTCGAGCTCGAGTCGGGCGAGTTAGTAAGATTTTTGCTTGGTGAATATTGTCTCAAAATGTGATGCAAATTCGTCGAATTTCGGCAAGTTAACCGACAGCAAAGCATTATTTAAACATTTAAGAGTCCACAATTTTCGTTACAGCTTCAACTTGACTTTAAAATCAAAATTTATTTTCAACAAGATGTCGCTGACTTAAAATGTCATACTTTATGTCTTGCAAACTGGAAAAACAAACCAAAATCGCATGCCCCAGACGTGATATAAGTCGG